TACTGAGTGTCTGGATATTTTGGCAGTTATTTGGTACTTACCTTAAAATATCAGCTCCCGGAGTGAAAGTATTGAAACTGAGACTTTATTCCTTAAAAAAATAATCTTTACTCCAAGAATTTACAGTGCAAAAACTTCTACCATGTGAACTATTCCATCTTAGATCCTCTGGAAAAAAAACAAAACAAACATATTTCCCTTTTATTTCACCTCATCTTTTACAGTTTAGACTGGGAATCTTCCTTGCTTTGAGTCCTGGACCAGTCTGTGATTTGGGTTCGTTTTTAATCAAAAAGCAATAAAAATTGGTTTCAGAGGGGTGAAACCGAACAAGGAGCAAGGAGCATACTCTGCTTAGAAAATGCATCACAGTACACTCAGAGCCTGTGACCCAATTGCCTGTTCGCTTTTACTGCCTTTTCAAGGTTCATTCAGAGCCAAGGAACATTCCATCTTCCAAAGGTAATAAAAATGCAGTGTGCCAGAAAACAACAGCGAACAATAGCAAAGGGATTTTTGGTTTGTTGAGGTGCTGCTGAATTTGCTGCTTCTGCCTCTCTCAGGGTTCCAGCAACACCCCCCTTATAGGACAGACACTATGTATTCCCAAATTCCTCCTTGGCTTCATGCCTGCAGGGCTCTGAGGGGAGCCCTTTAATTAAGGATTGTGAGCCTCTGCTCACGAACTGAAGGACCTGGGAGTTCCAGCTCTGGGCTCTGCTCAGCCCTGAAGCATCAGGCAGCCAAATCTGTGGTGGCTGAAGCTCTTCTTCTTCGATTGCATCCTTCAGTCTCAGTATCAGGGCAAAAGCAGAGATGCCAGGAGGAGCCTTTGCACGTGGATAAGATGGATAAAGTCTCAGCTGCCCATTCCAAAGGAAAACGAGTAGAAAAAGTTGTTTGAACTCCTGCTCAGGGGAGAAAAGCTTGGCAGGACTGATTGCAGCCATGGATGTGAGCCCTCCTCACCTTCAGAGTGAAGGAATTTTTCTCTAGGATTTCAGTTTCCTCCTATTCCACGCAAGCTCTGTTCTGGCTGGAGAAAAACTGCTCCATAAAAAGGCAGAGAACACTGGTACCAGCACAAAAATTTTTCTCCCTACATGACTACTGAGCTTTACAAAGTCCAGTAACCCAGCAAGGCATATTCTACAGACTGCAGGACATTGCTCCCTAGAATCATCTTGCAATAATGTATTTCAGAAAGTCTGCCTCAGCCCCACCATCCTGGATCATCCGGGAGTTCCTCACACCACCACCAGGCAGCATTCAGGAGGTGCAGACATTCTCCTGGCTGTGAGTGAAGTGCAATTTGTCACCATGTTGCTGTGGGGGGAATTTCTGGGGAAAATAAAGAATTTTTTAATTGTTATTAATCAGGCTGGAGCCTGAGCAGGCAGTGCAGGTGATGGTGGGACGAAAAGGCAGCAGCAGCATGGAGCTGACACAAACACTCAGCAGCAAATCTGTTCTGGGCCCTCTTCCAGGATGTTCTGCTGCACCCTGTGGCACCTCAGGATGACAGAGAGATGAGAATTCCTCATGATCTCACTCAGGTGCTTTTCCAGGGGAAGCTTCATGCCTGCACATGCATTCTGTAGGATCAGCCAGCCTCATCACTTGGACACAGGGCTGCTTTGTCTGACTTCATGCTCTGCAGGTATCCATGACACATCAAGCTGGAAAGATCATTTATAAGCAACTCAAGCTGGCATTTCTACACATGAGGTGTCAGCCAGGGAGGTTTCAGTCTGGTTTTTAATACTTCAATAAGCCAAGAGTTTAAGTCATCTCTGCTTCGTCACTGTGTGCTAACTGTAGCCGTCAACAGATTTAGGGTGAGATTAATCATTGTTGGTTTTAAATAGAATAGACTTCCCTGAACTATGCATTTGGGTTCTGAAAATCCCATTCAGCATTTTTCCTGCACATGGATAATGGGAACACAGTCCAAAGGGTTTTGCCAGAGAGATGTGGAGGTTCACATCTGTTTTCAGAAACAATGAGATGATCTGGGACTATCTGGGAATCTTCCTAAGGTGGATTCAGCAGCCTCCTTCCAGGGATCCATCTCCAGCTGGCAGGAGTGGATGTCTTTAGTAGCAAGACTCTGATAAGGAGAACAACACAAAGCCATAAAAATGGAAATCAGCTCCTGTTCTGTTAAATTAACCTGTCAAAAATTTTCTGTGGCCAACAATCAAGCTGACAATAAGCTAATTACAGAAAGACCTCTAAACACAAAAGGTATTAGATTGACTGAGAAGTTGTTACCTGCCTGTATTTTCCTGTCTGAGCAGCCCAGAAGTCTTGAGGCACATTGTTGATTTGTCTCCCTGTGCAATCCCAGGGGCTGTTGTGGGGAGATAAAATCTGCAGTAGTTCCTGCGACTCTCCCAGATCCCATGGCTGGAGGCACAGCAGCCAATTCGGCTGCACAAAAACGCTCCTTCCAGCCAGCACTGCCTGCAAAGTCAACCTCAAGGACCTCCAACTCTGTTTCTTACATAATACTCAATAACAAATCTCGTGGAAAGTCCTCCCAGCCCTCATTTTATCATTTAGACAAGAAAAAAAAAAAACCTTTAGGGCAAAGTAATTCAAGCTCCTCTTCTGCAGATGATGCAGTGATGGGTAGTGCAGGCTTAGACCTACAGTGCATTTAAACACCCTGAGGAGCACACACACAGGACAATTATGCTGAAATTCCAGCTTCTTCTCTCTGAAACTTTGCCAATTGCTCCTCTCTTCTCCTGCTCCTTCTTTATTTGCCATTGGCACGTCCTCCCTGCCTTCAGCTCGGCACAAAGGGACACGGCAGCATCTCACACTGCACTCGGCAGTTTGCTCCCACCAGATTCTCTGTCCTAGTGTGTGGATAGAAAAGAGGGAACCCTGTGAGGGAATGCTGGTGAATCCCCTTCCCTGGGCACCACAGGAGTGGAGAATGGGGAATGAGCAGACTTGCAATGTCTCCTTCCTCATCATTCCTGCAGCAAAGATGGGATGTCCCTGCTGGTGACTCTCCCAGGGCCTGAGATAGCACCAGGGTTTCATGAATTGGGTTTTCAGCAGAAACCAGTGATTGTAAAAAATTGCCAAACCTGGCCTTGCAAGGGACTGAAAGGGTGGGGTTGTTGTGTGCAGATTCACTTTTAAAAATTAACTCTGATTTAAGGCAGGACCTGACAAGAATTAGAGCATGACCACTATTCATAAAATCCTTGTGTGTGGTTGCTGTGTGCAGTTTCACTTTTAAAAATTAACTCTGATTTAGGACAGGCCCGGACAAGAATTACAGCATGAGCACTGTTATAAATGCAAAGGCAAATTTAGGTTAAATAAAAGAGCAGTTTATTATAAAACAATTTTTATAATAAAAATAAACAACGAGGAAAAACCACAATAAAATAAACAGCGCAGCGCTGGGTGGACAGGGGTCTATACCCAAAGGTATAGGTGTTCCCAAATCCACGAAGGAGGGTAGACTGTCCTGGGTTTTTATAGGGATTTTGTGTCCTGAGGCCAAAACTCTGAGCAGTTACTATTCAACAAAGAGTTTAGATGGCTGGTTGAATGAATTTCCTGGAACCGTGGAACTGAATCAATAGACGACTGGGCAGAGTCCTTTCGCATGTGAAAGGTTCTGAGTGCCTCCTGATTGTATCTTCGGTTGGGCTCTCAGAGTGAAGTATGCAAGTCCGGTGCGGAGTCGACAGATATCTCGGCTGGGCTTCCACTTATTGTCCGGCCTGATTGCATCTTCAGTCGGGGTTTGCAGGAAGGGGTGTCCCGGTGCGGTGTGGAGTCGATGGGCATCTCGGCCTGGCTCCTTTCTTTGTTTAGCTTAATTGTTCGTGTCCTGCTTTTTCTTTCAGGCTGATGAACGTGTCGCCTAAGGTCGTTACCGCCTGAATGGGTAGTTACTGCTGGGTTTGGGGAAATTCTTCGGCCACACTATATTTTATATACTTTTTACATTGTTACAAATCTAGTTATATATTTATTTATTCTTTCACGAATTTTTTTATCCAAGGTTACATTTATCACAAGCACCATTCATAAAATCCTTGTGTGTGCACCACAGACAGGGAGGCACAAGTACCCAGTTCCCCAGGAACAAAGCCAAATATTAATTTACAGCCACACAGGCCTCGACTCAGGTACATGAGTGAGTTGCTTAAATAACTGTAGCAGCAGAGGGGAAAAAAATTTAAAAATGGAGGATTGGTTGCCTTGTGTACTCTGTGGCTGGGCCCAGGTTCAGGGCTGGTGTGATCCCACTGATTTCACGATCACTTTGGGATTTTGAAGGCTCTGTCAATGCAGTAGGATGCTGCTCTGCTCCCAGGCTTTCCCACCCATTAGCATTCCAGGCTGGTAGAAAATCATCCACTGCACAGTGCTGAGAATTTTAAAATAATAAAGAAGCCAAGATGCCTGCTGTCACTACCACCAGCTAATTATAGAACCATGGACAGGCTTCCCTTGCCTGTTTGAATTGGACAGAATTCCATATGCTGTGCTCCTCCAGTGCAACAAATAAACCATATTAAAGAGGGAAGGCTGAGAAGACATTTCTGATTTTGAAATCCTTTAACCCCACAGTCAGAAACACATGAAATAACTTAATGGGAATTTTCTTTCTTTTTTCTTTTTTCTTTTTTTTTTTTTTTTCATATGTGCTTCTGGGGAAGTGGGCAGAGTGCTGGCACAGAACTTGATATTTAGCAATTTATTACCAGTTTCTTTTCTCTATTAGACTCCTCCACAAAATCTTGGGATTTGGGCACAGCCATCCCAGAATTCAGCCAGTTTTCCAGCTGGCATTGCTGGGACACCCAGCAAAGGCCAGAACACTGATACAGTTTTCCTGATTTTTCAGTGATGCTGAGCATTGGAGGAATCCTGCCTTAGATATTGTGTGGAGCAGCCACAGGGGGAAGAGCCCCTCAAAGAGCAGAACTGCTGGCACAGGTGATTATCCCACATAGGGTCAGTCACCTGCCAGGTCCTCCTACCCTTAATTATTCTTTTTGCTACATTTTCCAGTTGTTTTCAGTGCTAAAAACTGCTGGGAGGGAATAAAGAGGAATCCCCTTTGGGCTTAAATTCTATTAAGCTGTGGTTCCATTTGCTTCAGAGGAGAGAGACCTAAATGTGGAACTGAATTTCCTCAAAGTTAATTCCCAAAGCTGGGCACTGGAGAGATGTAGGTCACTTTGCTTTGTTCTGAGACTGAGCTGAGCTATAAATATCATTGATTTTTCCCTGAAAAGTGTGAGCATACTCATCTTTGCTGCTTTATCCAGGTCATTGCCTCCAAAGGCAACATCAGTGGCTCCTGCTGCCACTTCTGCTTTTAAGGAGAGGATCCTCCAAACTAATTTTTTTCCCTGTATTAAGCATGCAAAACAGTAAGGGGATTATTTTTCTCTGTATGTCCTGAAAACATATTTTGGGCAGCCTGTTTTCCCCTCAATCACCAATATATTTTTATCCCTCCAATATATTTTTATCCCATGAAATGTTCACCTTCAGAGAACATCACAAAGGGATCAAGTGGCCCAAGTTTTCCATGTGCCATGTCTTGAAGGTGCAAAATATTAAGGAGATTTCTTTTGGAGGAAAAAAGGCAGCTTCACAGGGATAAATCCACATAGCCTGGCTGACTCTGGAGAGGCTTCCATGGCTGACAGAAGGTGCTGAAGGAATAGTCCATGAATATTTCTGTGGAACAGCGACATCCAGTGGGCAAAGAACGATTCCTGCTAAAATCCTTGGAAAATTGGGATAGGGCCACAGAAGAGCGGAGGTTTCTCCCCAGTATTCAGTACTGTGCAACTCCAGCCCGTTGCAGTAAATGTTGCAATGTGTTGCCCTGAAAACTAAGTTTTTCAATCTTGTTGACATAGTTTCTAAAAACTTTCCCAGGACAGTGACTGTAAACATAGATATGTATACATTCTTTCTGACACACGTCTTTTGATGGACATCTCTCACGGCCAGTGCAGTTGGAAAGGTGTTAACATGACTAGCCAATCCCTGGCCGTGGTCAGAAACTTATAAATACTGAGAAAAGAAAATAAAGCTCTTTTTCTTTCACCACACCTCAAGCTGCGTCTGTGTGACTCATTTTGTGTCTAGCAGCAACAGCAATGCCCAGATTTTCCTTAACGTCCAAGTGGAGTTTTCATTGCTGCATTTTGACCCATTGCTTTTTGGGCTGATGATGCCTAAAGAGTAGCTTGATTTTTATTTTAAACTATTTAATTTAATTTTTAGTTTTGTTTTTGGAGAGAGATTAGTTTGAATTCTAATTTTTAAAATAAGTTTTAAAATATTTCATTTTTATTTTTATTTTTCAAAGATAAATTAGCTTGAAAAAAACCCCAATCTGACATAACTGAGAGCCTGGATGTGCAAGCTCCTGTTTAGAAAAAGCACTGGCAAAAGTAAGGCCTAAATTATCTCAGTATTTATTGAGTGAGCCCAAAACTCTATGAACAGATCCTGTAGGACAATTGGTGTTGGCTGCACTCACCTGCAGTGATAAAAATTTATTTTTATATTTCCATTAACATAAATCTGCCTGGCAAAAATCAAGCTGAGAGAGGGAACACCACAGCATGTTCAGACCCACTGAACACATATTTCCTAGCACTCACTTTTCACCTTCTGGCCAAAGGCTGACATGAAATGTAGTTGTGTCAGGACCAAGGCAGATCAATTCCCTCATTCCATGCTCACATTTCCCCACATTTTGTGTGTTTAGCTGGCCTGGCCAACATCACTTTTACGCAACACAGAGGACAAGGGACACTGAGTCCTCCTGTTTGGTTTTATCAAGTGGCAGTGACAAGCTTGTTTTTGGACAGGTCCTATGTACCCTGTAGCCATAAAACTCAGGGTAACAGCTGCTGTGGCCTGACACTGTCTGAGAAATTTGCTCTCTTCAGGCTCCACAAGCCCGAAGTGAGGCTGCTGCCTGATGTCTTTCTTCCCTCTGCTTGAGTTCCAGGGCTCTGGTGGTGCTCCTGATGGACTGGGGTGGCACAAGGCATGTTTTTTGTGATCTTGCTGCCATATCCCTACTGTGAGTGCAAGACATTAATGCATGCAAGGTATTACCTCACTTAACCAGAGTTTTCAAAGTCTCTCTCTGAGCTCACCAGGGGCAAAGTCAGCAGAGTTTGTGTGTCCTGCACCTGACAGGAGAGAGTCACATGAACATGTCATCACTATTATCATCACAGGCATAATCCAAACTCCTAAACTGCCTCTGAAGGTAATATAAAAGTGGTAGTCCTATGCTTTAAGGTTCAAGGCCAGGCTGGATGGAACAACCTGGTGTAGTGGAAGATGTCCCTGTCCACGATAGAGGGCTGGAGCTGGGTGATCCCCTCCAACCCAACTCATTCCATGATTCAGGCGTTCAGGTTCACATGTGGTGGCACTTCAGCCATCCATGATCTCATTCCAGGCAGAAGGCTGGGGCAGGCAGTGGGAGGAAGATTTCAAAGCCCGCCTGCTGAACAAATACATGAATTCCCTTAATGGAATCACAGAACAGTTTGGGCTGGAAGGGGACCTTGAAGATCATCTCGTTCCACCCCCTGCCATAGGCAGGGACACCTTCCCCTATCCCAGCTTGCTGCAAGCCCAGGCAATGAACATTTCCAGGGATGGGTGATCTTACACCTTCCCTGAGCGACCTCTCCCAGTGCCTCACCCCCTTCACAGTGCAGAACTTCCCCCTAATATCCAATCTAAACCCAGTCTTTTAACATCTGATGTCGCTAAACCAAGGACTTCGGATTGAGTGACGCCAAAAACCCCAAACACTCAACCATTTACGCACGAGCACCCCTCCCCCATCTCTCCCCATCCCCTCCCGAGGGCTGCGCGGCCGCTCCGCCCGGGCAAACCAAACACTGTCCCGAACCTTTCCCCTCACCTCCGAGCCAGGACGGGCCTGGGTGTCGTCGTGGGCTGCCCTTGGGCTCTCGGGAGTTGTAGTCGGAGCGCCCGGAGCAGAACTACGGCTCCCGGCTGCCCGCGGGAGCGCAGGCGGGGCGGCCCCGAGGCCGAGCTGCGGCTGCTTGCAGCAGCACCGCGAGGACACGGCTCGGCTCCGGGGACACGGCCCGGCTTCGGGGCGGGGGGTTTGCCACAGCCACAGCGGGAGCTACCGGGATAAGGGCGGATCGCAGCCCCGGCGCCCAGCCGAGCCCCCTCACCCGCGTTCTCCGCCCGCCCGGGCGCGGCTGTGGGGATGGAGGAGGGACGGCGGCGAGCGCAGCGCTGGGGTTGTGACTCTGGGGATCCTCGGCTCAGCCTTAGCGCTGAGGTACGTGCCTGTCTTTCCCCGGGTCTTTCCCCTCAGAATTGGGCAGCTGGAAGCGGCCGGGGAGGTTCTGGCCCTTTTACCAGGGTGATTCTGGCCCCTTTATCGGAGTGGTTCTGGCCACTTTAGCCGGGGTGGTTCCGTCACCTTAAGCCGGGATTGAGGCCGCTTTAGCTCGGTTGGTTCTGGCCGCTTTAGCCCGGGTGTTTCTGGCACCTTTGGCCGGGATTGAGGCCTCGCCCGCCCGCTGCTGCTGCTCCAGGTCCCTTGGTGTTTTCCTGGCTGCCCTGGAGGGTATGAACACCCATCCTGCTCCCCAACAGATACTGCAGGTAAGGCCTGGCTGGCTGAGGTGGGGGCCGTGATTCCTGCCGGGAATTTCATTTTCCATGGAGTGTGTGGAGAAGGAAGCTCGGAGCTGAGGGCACACGCGGCTTTTTCTGTCCTGTGTTTCTGTATTTCCAGTCTGCCTGAATGGAGGCAGAAAGGGCCAGACTAAACCCAGACTAAACCCAGAGAAGCTGGTGCAGCTGCACTGGAGGCACTGAAGGTGTTTGTTCTCATTTCACTGTCCATGCTCAGCTCTAGAATTACTTTCTGAATGTCACAAATTCTGATTTCTACCTCATTGAGAAACAAGTGAGCCCTGGCTCACCTTCATGGAGGTCATTTGAGCTTGGCTTTACTGCTGAACCTTCTCTCTTTTTGGCTAAGAGCCTCATGACATGCTCTGCACTTCTCTGTTGCTATAGGAGGAGTGTATTTGGTTCAAATGAGATACCATTTTTATTTCTCCTCTGTCACTCTATTGTGAACAGTGAGAAGAACGACACAGACTCTCTTGTGAGTTGAACAGGAGAGTTCCTCTAAAGGTTATTACCTCAGATCTTCTTTTATAGACCGATATGTACAGAAAAGTAAAACTCTTATTGGTTAGTAAAATAACACATCACCATCATTGGTCAGTGGGGTACACTGCCCTCGACCTTCTCTTGCAAGAAAACAAGAAACTGACAAACAGCACCTGCAAGGCTGTCTTCTATCTCTGAGGATTATTTTAATTCCTCATGATTTCCCAGGCCACTTTCTCAGGTGAGACTGAGAAAGTTATGCAGCCTTCTTTTCCACAGGCATATTTTGCTCATATTTAGCATCCGTACTCCTCTGTTTAGCAGCTCCATGGTTTCCTGAAACTGCTTGCTATGAAGAATGATGGTGTTCATCCTTCTAGGACCTTCCTCTGTGCTTGATTACCTGTTGAATTTTTCATTCATGGTTTCAGAATCTGGAGGAGTGAATTGTCAAGGGATGCAGCTCCTGTAAATAACCCACATCCCACATTTTTATGATGGGAATGATGCTGTGTGACAAGTAGATAATGGAGATGAGAAAGGGGAAGCTTCCACAGCCTGGGCAGAGCTGGAGAGGTTCTTGCCCTGTTTTGAGCTTTGCTTTCTGCTCTGAGTTGTAGGTGTCTGGAGCAGGTGACATCTTTTGGGCACATGGTGGTTCCTTAAAAAAGTTATTTTTTAACTTACAGGACAGTAGTTGGGTGTCAGGTAACTCTCTGTAGTCTCAGCTCTACCACTGGTGTATCGTCAGTACCCTATGCCTGTTTTTCAGACTGATTTAATTATGTGGTGAAAGGGCAGGAGTTCCTTTAGGGTGCCTGCAGCATTATTAGCAGCTTCCCAGCTGTTATTTAACAGCATCACCACAGATTCTGTTTTACTGAAGTTATTCCCTTTTTGGGTTTCACAAAGGTAAATGTGTTTCCTATCCCTTCCTCTTTGCACAGCATAGCTCTGTGAGTCACTGCCATGAGAAGGAGCTTCATATTTGTGTGATATTTGGCTCGGCACAATTGTCTGCTTATTCTGATATTGCTGTATGGCATCATGTTTTGACATTTATTTTGAGTGCATGTTTGGAGCTCTGTGGTTGCAAAAATCCTGTGCCAAATTCATGCATGAAGAATCTGTTATGCTCCTGCTTTGGTCTGCAATGGCCACTGCTAGGATTGTTTGGAAGAACTGGGATGCCTTTTCCACTAAGACTTTGTCAAATGTCTTGGAAACTGCAAAAAACTGTGGGAGTACTGTAAGTGTGATGGCTGCCGTTGTTGCCTTCCCTTTTTCTTGGGAAGGGGTATGTCCATGGCTTTTTAAGCTGCCTTAATCTAGAAAGTGGGTGGCTCCAGGAGCACAGAATGCTCAGAGCTGTGGCTGATGCCTCAGAAACGAGCTCATCTCCCTTGTGTTTGTGCATGTTTGATTTTATTGCTCACAGAGGCTGGTCCTGGTGGTTTCTCCAGAGTTGAAGGCTTTCTCCAGCCCAGTTCAGCTCTCTGATGTTGTGTTGTCCCTGCCTGTTCCCATCAAATCTGTTTGCCTTGCTCATCATCTCTGCTCCAGAAGTGCTCCTGGGCTCTGGCAGGATTCAGAGATGGGCTTAATGTGGCTGTGCCACTCACAGTAGCTCTGATCCTGCTCTTTCCCTTCAGTTGCTGTTTTCCAGGGATAGAATGGAGAGTCCTGTTTGAATTCTGGTTGTTTTCCAAGGATTCTAATTCATGGCTTGTCAAGGGTGTTTTTGGAGAGGCCAGAATTATAATACAGTGTTCTCAGAGGGAGGCCAGCACACCTTTCCATACATTCTCCCTGGAAGCTCTGATGGGAGAAAGATCATTGAATTCTCCTTAAACAAAAAGAAAGTGGAGTCTGTTGTTTCTTGGGAAACTTGCAGAATTTAAATATTTTTTTTTCCCTCTCTACTAGTGTTTGAAATTTCCAAGAGCACAGAAAAAGTCTTCCAGAGATTAGACTGGAAAATGCAATCTGTGAAGTTACATTGATGTGCTGGCAGGATAGTCAGTTGATTGATCTTAGACCTTGGTCCACATTCCCTGATGGAATTCCAAGGGAATTAGGGATGTGTGCTGGATCAGGGGTTGAAACTTCCTTCTTTTCCTGTGACTAAGTCATGGAGAACAGAACTTGGAGTTGGGATATGTGAGCTTTGTTCCTGGCTCTGCCACCAATCTCACGTGTACCTATGGCTCCATTTCCCATCTGCAGAGTGTTCTTGGATTCTCCAGAGTCCCCAGAGCACAAAGAAGACATCTGGGTCTGTAAAATGCACAGACCTGGAGGTGAATTGATGGACATGCTGACCCTTAAACCTTGCTTGAATAAGGAAGGCAAGAGCTCTTCCTCACTTTGTTCTGCTCCCACATGCCTGCCTAGCCAAAGGCATGTCAGGAGAGATTAGACTTAAACCTTCTGATCTGCTTTCAGAGCACAGAAAGGGCAAGTTGCAGGCTGAAAGCAGGCAGGAGTGCAGTGCTAACCATTCTGGAAGCCTGAAGGGGAATCTCAAGTTGGTAGGATGAGCTATCAAGGCTCATCAGGGATCCAGCAAGTTTTATGCTCCAGCTCCCTCTGTGCCAGGCTGAAGGAGATGCCTTTTGTTTGGAAAAATTGGAAGAGGAGGAAAAATTGTGTTCCTAACTCAGAGGATTTTTTAATCCCCTTGTTCCACCAGTGCTGAGGGTCTAAATGTCTGTGAGCAGCCCTACTCCAGAGCCACAGTTCTATGTTTCCTCAGCCTCACTATTCAGTCACCTCTCAGTGCATCAGAATTAATTCCTCCTGATTTTTTCACTCCTGCTGTAAATCAGGATTTTGATTTTTGAATGACTTTTGGGGACACTTACTGACTTTATGGACAGGCAAGGCAAACATGTCATTAGATTGGGGTTTCATGTACGCTTAAGTGCTTGAACTCAGATTTTAAGAGTAAATAGGAGTTGATAGCTGGTGTGAGAGAGATGCAGACCTGAGCTTTACCAGGGCTCCACACCATCAGCTCTGGGCCAGATGGTCTTGCCTCTGAGAAATATATTAGAGCAATGTCAAGGAAGAGCACAGCATAAATCTGCTGCCAAGACAGATTTCTCACTGTTGGAATATGTTTCTGTCTGATCCTCTGTTTCTAGATGATTGAAAATAATTCTGGAAGGGATCTTGCTGAGGCTACCTAGTGCATCCTTTTCCATGTGGCATGGTAAAGTGCACTGAAACCCTTCCTGATGTATCTGTTAAGCTTGTTCTTTAAGCAGTGGAGACTTTCTAGCTCGCCTGGGTGGGTTCTATTTGATTTTATTAAACTTTTTTTTAATTAAACTTTTTAAATATTGTGGCTTTTGTCTGTGTTCTGGGCACAGAAACAAGGGATGCAGGTGGTTGATTATTGACGTCTTAGTGTCAAGGGCCAGAAAAGTGATGGTGATTCCTGGCAGGAGATGGAGAGGAATCACTTAATGCAATAATACTGAGTGTTTGTTTCTTTACCACAGAGATCTTCCATGGAAAAGTTAAAATACCATTCTCCCATTTTTTTTTCTGTGCAAAGACCTTAATTCAAACTTAGCAAATAATTGCTTTTTTTTTTTTTTTTTTTTTAACTTAAACAACATTACCTAGTGGTTCTGTGTGTGGGCAGGGAGTATTTGTTTTTACTGTAAAGCAATGTAAATTTAACATGCAGATCTGCTATTGAGGAAAAAGTGGATTCTCATCAGCTGCTGAGCTTTTCCAAGGCTCCAGGCTCAAATCTGCAAACTGTCGGCTCCAATTAAAGCAAATGGCTGGAGCTGTTTTTTCTCCCTCCTGGAAAGAACACGGTTCATCAAAAGCCAGAAGGAAGTTTCAACGGGTTCATGAGCAATTATCTCATGGGATGTAATAAGAGAGATCTACAAGATGCCCAGTGTGAACTTTCTCTTTTAATCACTTTTAATTCTTCACTGGGCGCACAAGTGCTGTTCTCAGCAATTTGAAGCCTGAAGTTTTCCTGTGGAGTAGAAGCTGGTAGAGAGAACTTGTGCTTTTGTAGGGTTTGATTGATGTTGATGTAGAAATGTGAATTTTGAGCATCCCTGAGCTAGCAGGTGACATTCCACCTTTTTTGTGTGGGGTGGGTTAATCCTGGCAGGCAGCTCC